GCAATCGCAAGACAGTTGGGGGCCGGCGAGGACGACGCTGAGAGGGCCGGGGTGATGAGTGGGAAGCTGAGGGTGCCTGGGCACGGGGCCTTCGGCCCTGTAAAGTGCTGGGAGGGGGCAGCGGGGGGTGCTGTGCCTTGGCCGCTGCAGAGAGTAGGCTGCTAGCCAGGAATGGGGGTGCCCCAGGCCCCTCCACTGCGGGGGCCCCTCCCAAGGATCCCAGGACCAAGGGCAGGTGCATAGTGGCTGAAGACACTGGTGGCTGAGTGGAGGGACCAGGGGGACCAGGGGGAGCTGGGAGATTATTGCTTGGGGGCAGGGGAGGAGGTGTTAAGGCATCACTACAGTGGAAGAGAGGAGAGTCTGAAGGTGGTGAGCAGGAGGCCTGAGGGGCTGGAGGAGAGCTCAGGTCAGAGGGCACCAGGTTGGAGCGGAGAGATGCTCTCCAGTTGTATGAGGGAGCATTGAGGCTGATAGCAGGTGGAGGAGGAGGGGCTGGAGAAGGAGCATTGCCTCTTGGGAGGAAACAAGGGCTGCTGCCGCCCCCAGAGGGAACTGGATCAGGAAGCCGTGGTGGTGGGAAGAGCCCTGCAGGGCCTGTTAGAGGGGGGAAGGACTGCGGAGCTGAAGGGGGTTCTTGGGGCAGGGAGCCAGGACCCCCATTAAGAGGAGTTGTAGGAGGAACTCGACAAGGAGGGCGGACAGAGGGGGGCCCTGGGGACACAGTGTGGAACATTTGGGGGCTTGCTCCCTCTCCTGCAATAAATGAGAAAGGAAGAGTCAGCTTGTGGGTCCCTACCACGAATGTTCTCCAGCCCCAACTCCCCCAGGTCTCCAAGCCTGTGTCTCACCAGGCAGCTCCCCACCAGCCACTCCCAAGCCCTCAGATTTCCTCACTCTCCTCTAAAGTGGCAGAAAAACTCACCAGGAGAAGAGTGTGAGCAGGTGGTCTCCATGCTGCGGTACAGAGTTGCCATGGCAACAGCTTTCCGCCTGTGGTTGCACAGCTTGGTCATGTCCTCCTCTGATGCGGGCCCCACCCCAGCCCCACCCGGGGTCACCGGGGCCAAAGGGTCAAAGTTGAAAACCTGTAAGGTAGGAAGCATGGACAGAGACACTGAGGGGGTGGAATCTTAATAAGGTACCATGGTCAGTAATTTGGATTAAGTCTCCTGGCTTATGTCTATAGGGACAGATGCCAGGACTCTGACCTTGGGGACATTGAGTGGACACTCCAGACCGCACTTGCAGGTCCCATCGCTGAGGAGGTAGCTCCGGGTTTGCTCCAAGGAAGACAGCTCTGTGCCACTTGGGCTGGGGAAAGGACAGAGTCATGGGTATGGGGTTAACTGTCAGCCAGTTTGAAGGAACTTCCTACAGTGCAGTTAAATGCTTTCCTGGGAAGCACAAGGCATAAGTGATGTGAGAAGAGACAAAGAGTGAATGACTTCAAAGACCCAGAGACTGAGGGGACAGACGAGAACAAGGGCGCAGACACTCAAGTTTTGAGAGGGGTGAGGGAAGGAAAACTCAAGCAAGCAAAGGGCAACCGGGCTAGGACAACTCCAGGGTCCCTGAGAAGTCATACCTGACATAGAACACAGCACCTTCTCGCACACAGCGCTGCCAACCGATGGGGACAGATGTGGCCACAGGGCCCCCAGCTCTGTCTGCTCCACTGCTCTCATTGCCCCCATTCATTGTGTGTAATCAGCTCCCGTGCGCCTGGTAACACAGACATGCATGTGGCACCAGCGTGACTCAACTGGGCTGGGTACCTGAGGGAGAGCTCCAGGGAGGCAAAGGCGGTGGGAGACCCAAGGAAACTCAGGATCCTGAGTGGCAAAGGGAGCCCCCACGAGGAGCTGGGAGGGAGGAAGCCTCGGCCTGCCGCGCCACCATGGCTACCTGAACATCTCTGCAAACATTGTGGGATCCAGTCTAGAGCCGGGGCCACCAGCTTAGCCCACACCTGCAACACAAGGAAAGGGAACGGCCTCTCAATAAAGCACCACTGCCCAGAACACGCAAGCAAGGGTCCATAAATAACATGCCGTGTGCCTAAGGACCTCGGGTTTGCTGGCCATGTCCACAAATGTCCTCTCCAAGTCCAGTTCCCTAAGGACCAAAGGAGTTCAGTGCCTCAACTCCCAAGGACCACAAAATCATACCCTAAGTTTCCTGACATATGAAGGACCAGTTCCCTTTGTCTAGGGACAGAAGACTTCAACAGGAGTGTGGGCTAATTCCCATAATGCCAGGCCACTAGGAAGTTTCCCAGTGTCTGGCCACTGCTGTCTCCTCCCCCAGAAAGATCATATAAAAAGTACAGATTGCCCCACAGGTCACCAAGCAATTGCCCAACTGCCTGGCAGGGTGGTACCAGCGGACACCCCCCCACCCCGTGCCCACTCCGTCAGACAATCTCAGATCTAATTCATTTGGAGCTCCAGAGAGGCTGGAACCAAAGCCCTGCCTTCCTCCAGGATCCCGAGACGCTCCTGGTCCTCTCTCATGTCGAAGAAAAGGGGACCCATAATGAACCCCTGGCTTCCAATGAGCAACAAGAAGTATTCTCTGACACATAGGGATGACCCTCAGCCCTGCAAGCGTCCTCACCAACCTCACCATCGCTCCCACCGCACACTGACGGCTTCCAAACTTTCCCTCTCATAACAAGGCGCCCTGTCACCCAGACTGCTTCCTTCAGCTTGGGGAGGAGGGGAAGGCAGGCGCACGAAGTAGGAAGGAACTTGGGGAGAGGGCGGGTGGAGGGTGGGCGAAGCACCGGAGGGAGGGAGGTCAGCAAGGCACAAGTCAGGCACCGAGGGGGAGAAACGGCGGGGGCAGGTGAGGGTGAGGGGCCGTGGATGGGGCCGGGGGAAGGGGCCGGGAGGACGGACGGACGCGGAGGGGGCAGAGGGTAGGGACAGAAGGGGAGGAGAGAGCGGGGAGGGGGAGGGGCGGGGGGGCCGGGCCCCGCACTCACCGCGGCCCATGGTTCGGCTGGCCCCGCCCTGCGCAGTCGCGGCCCAGAGGGTGAGTGGGAGGGGGGTGGGAGGTGGGTCGGTGGAGCCCGAGCCTCCGGTACGGCCCCGGCCGGTCTTAGCAGGAAGCGCCGCCGCCGCCGCCGCCGCGGATCACCGAGCGGCCTCCCGCGCATGCGCCATAGGGGCCAGGGGCAGCCCTGGGGATTCCGTTCCCAGAAGGCACCGCGCAAGCTGCTACCGCCGCCGCCGCCGCCGCCGCCGCCGCCGCCACTGCCGCCGCCGCCGCCGCCGCCGCCGCTGCCCGGACGGGAGAGGGGCGGGGCCGGGCCCCCGCCCAGCGGACAGCAGCGAGCCAACAGGAGGGGACGCAGTGCGCATGCGGGAGCGCGCCTACCCCTCCCCCACAACCCCCCATTAATCCCCAAGAGAACAAACACCCCACGCGGCCGCCGCCCCCCCCCCCCTCCGCGGAAGGATCTGGGCCTCTTCCCAGCCACTGGTGGCCAATCCCGGTCCTCCCTGGGGAGGGGCCCCTTCCGAAGCCACAATCTGTTGGGGGAGCCAGGAATGTCAGGTCCGGGAGGGGCCAACCCTAAAAGATGAAAGTCGCGACTTGCCCTGCCCCGCCCCAGAGGCTTCCCGGGTAGTGTGCCGAGACTTGACCCGCCTCTCCAGGTCAACATGTCACAACACGACCTCTGCCTGTCAAGTCACATGACCCCTGCCTGTCACTGACAACCTGGTCCGTCTCGAGGCCAGGAGAGACCATCTGGTTCAACCCACCCCCACCTTTGCCAACAGAAGGGCAGACGAGGGTCTGCAGCAAAGGGGCAGTCTGGCTGGCCAAGGACCTGTCACTGTCGCACCCTCCAATAGCAACCGGTGCTGGTGCAGTTTCTGCTCAAACTCTGGCTTGCCTCTCTGAGCTCATGACAGACTGTGCTAGGCCACCACATGGCCTGTTTTCATGGCACAAAATACACGTTTCGCAAGGTGTTTTCTACTTTCGTTCGAGTTGCCCCCACAGTGGTCTTTCCCTCCACGACTCGTTCTTTAATTTACATGTTAAGGTAGAATTTGTGTTCCCTCTGGTAACCCAGTCCAGGGCAGGCATGCGCTCAACTGCATGAACGTCCCAGTTCCTGCTATAGGTCATGACCCCCAGACTCCTAGAGGCCAGCTGCTCAGCGGGAGTCACAGGACTTGCTGTCGGGGAGAAGGGAAAGGGTGGGCGCCGAGCAGGGGTGGGATAAGTAGGGAGTGGGACTCGGGTGCACGCTACAAAGAACTGGAATTGTGGCGTGCAATGGGCGACTCAGAAACAAACGCCAAAGGTGCTCCCCCGAAACAAACGGGTGGACTACCATGGAAATGCCAGGACCTCAGCCTCTGGGAAGCGTTACGAGGTTAAAAGAGGTGAGACCCCTTCTAAAAGGCTGGAGAAGATGTCAGTCCAGGTGGGACTAAAGGAAACTTTAGCGCGGTTCCAGGGCCTCGCACGCATTAGCTGGGAGGGGCCGGGGAAGCTGGGAGTCTGGATGGAGGAGCAAGGTGGAGGTGACGGAGGTGGGTGGGCAGAGCCGCAGCTCCTGGGCAGACAAGTTCAGGAAGGACAGCCGTTGGGGCCGTTGGATACTGGGAGCTGGCGCTCCGCCCTCTTCCCTCTCACCCCCCCCCGCACCTCCCACCACCATCGGCGGCCCCTGCGCGTGGGCGCGCGCGCAGACACCGGTTGCCAAACATTGCATCATCCCCACCTCCGTCATCCCTCCCTTGCATTTTCCTTCGCCCGCCTGCACGCGCGCGCTTGCGCGCGCGCATGACTCACCTCCTCCGTGGAGCCTCGTGACCCAAAGCCACTTCCGGGTCCAAGACAACGTAGGCTCTCCAGCCAGAGGGCGTGGCCGCGGGGCTCCTGAGTGGCGGATGTGATTGGTGGGGCGGGGCCAGTGCCAGCGTGCCGCTTTCTGATTGGCAGGCTCCTGGGCCCCGCCCCAGGAGGAGGGGACAGATCCGCGTAAAATATCTTCACGCGGCGCTCCAGAGGTCAGTAGCGTGAGTCTCACACTTCGGTTATATCATGTTGAAGATGAACGGGTGGCAGCGACAGAGCCAAAATAAAAGCCGGGACCTGAGGAGCGAGGCGAGTACCGACGCCATTTACCCCTTCCCTCCCCATCCTCGCCAGCATGGCTAGTCCATAAAGTTGGGGGCGACTGCTCTGGAGGATGTAGCCCCACCCCTTTCATAGTGGCCCTGTAGACGGAGGGAGGGATGATGAAGGCGGGGAATCCCCGACCCTGGAGTGGTGTTTACATGACCCCTCTTCAGAGATTGCATCATCGTTCCCCTGCCTCGTTGGTCTGTGCCGTTAGGCAGAGGGACTCCAGTTGTCCTCCCGAGATCCATCCTCCTCCTCTGTACGACGAACTGCGGGCCATCTTAGGCCTGTCCAGGAGAAGGCGGGGCAGCAGGACACACCCCCATATAGAGGATTCTGGCATTTCCACAGCTTCATTACCCCCGGCTCTCCGAAGCGTCTGGGGAGCCAGCATAGTCACCTTAGTCGCTGACCCTAAGGTTCGAGAGAATCCTAAAACTGACAGACTTTTGCGGGGGGGGGAGGGGGGAGCTGGTGGGAGGAGCACAGATGGGTTTTCTCTTATTTCCCCATAGGCTTCTATACAAGAGAGCAGCCCGGATCTTTAACCGTGGGACATTGTTTGGGCTCTCTCCAGGGTCTTGTGCTGCTCGCAGGATTGAGTTCTGTCTCTTTCCCCAGTCCGCGCCTCACTAATCTCTGTAACCATTGCGTCAGGCCAGCCCACTGTTTGTCTCTGCGCCCTCTGACCTGGGGCTCCACTGCTGATGAAAGCCAGGCCTCACACACTGGAAGACCGAGGGAGTTTCCCCTAGAGGACAGCTCTGCAGAGAAACACTCAGGGCAATATTGCATCTCCAGTCCCTAGAGATGGGCAGCACTCGCTATCCATTCTCTGTAAGGGAAATTGGAGGAGTGGCTTTTTCCCTATTCATTCCTAACAAATGCTTAATAAACATCAACTGTGTGCCAAGCATTTGAGGACCCAGGATATATTAGGAGCAAAAGATAAAACTGCTCTCAATTCAGCCTACATTTCTGCAGAAAGCAAGAGCTGACAAATAGAGAGTGCTCGGGATTGTGGGTAATCAGGATTTGCCTCACTGGGGTTTAAAATAAAAGATCCAGAGAAGGCAAGCCTGTGAGCCATGCAGATAGAGTGAACGAGCTTTCCAAAAGGAACGGTGGGAGCAGAAGGGTTAAGATAAAGCATGCCTGGTACAACAGGACAATGGGCTGGATGGGAGTGAACATGAGAGGGAAACCACTGGAGAGATCAGGGCAGAGGAATGAAATAAGGCCCAGTGTCATGGCATATGTATTTAATTCCAACACTCAGACAGGGGCAGGCAAATCTGAGTTAGGAAGCAGCCAGGGCTACATAGTGAGACCTTGACTCAATAAATGAATACAAAAATAAAGGGATGGGGATGTAGCTCGATGGTAGACTGCTTGCCTAGTTTATAGAGGGCTCTATGGTCAACCCCCAAATGTGAAACTAAAGTAATAGAACAGAAATGGGGGATCTCGCCGGGCATTGGTGGCACATGCCTTTAATCCCAGCACTGGGAAGGCAGAGGCAGGCAGATCTTTGTGAGTTCGAGGCCAGCATGGTCTACAGAGCAAGTTCCAGAACAGCCTCCAAAACAATACAGAGAAACCCTGTCTCAAAAAAAGAAAAAGAAAGAAATGGGGGAATCTCACTATAGTATGGCGAATGTCTTTAATCCCAGCACTCAGGAGGCAGAGGCAGGTGGATCTCTGTGAGTTCAAGGCCAGCCTGGTCTACAGAGTTAGTTCCAGGACCCTGTCTTGAAAGAGAGAGGAAATACTAGGCTTTAGGGAAGAAAGAAAATACTCAGGCTTTAGGTACTAACAAGATGCATTAAAGCTGCCCGTTCTACACTGAGTTGTGGGGTTAGAGGAGGAAGCAAGGACACCTTGGAAAGAAAAGACCAGCAGGAGAGTGTTGTAAATGTCTATCAGGCATTGGAGATTGGCGTATAGCAAGTGCCACTCTATTTTTCTCTTCCCTGTAGTGCAGCCCTCACTCTGGCAGATTTGAGGTCTAGCTGGAATTTAGAGAAAGCTTAGTTGGCTGGGACTTTGCTATTATGTAATCAGGACAAATGTCAGAAACTAAAAATAAAATCAAGCTTGCTTCTGTCCTTGAAATTGGCGTATACTTGTGTGTGTGTGTGCACAAAAAAAATTACAGCCTGGTCTACAGAGCTAGTTTTAGGACAGCCAGAGTTACACCCTGTCTTGAAAAAAAAAAAGGGGGGGACTAGAGAAGGAGCAATGAGTAAAAGGCTAGAGGTAAAGAACCTGTTTCCTTGTCTTCAAACAGTAAACATGTATCTCTGTTCTCCACAGTGTTCCAGAAGGAAGTGTATCTTCATACATCACCATACCTGAAAGCAGGTAAACTTCACTAACTCCCTTCTCAAAGTCAACTCCCAGGGCTGCTCAGGGAGGCTTTTCTGAGACAGTAGTTAAGATTTTATTTCAGCAAGCTTTTGCTGTCAGACTGTGTCTTTATCTCACCCCATTAACAATATTTTTAGAGCATTTCCCAATGAAAGTAGGCTCTCATAGCCAGTCTCAACAATGGCAATTGGTTTGTCTTTACGATTCACAGTCCATACCAAGGTTAGACAAACCCCAAGGACCTTTTGCCCAAGCTTCCCACACAAGAGAAAGGAACACAAATGGCTTGGTAATTGTTCCTGGAATTCACCAGTTTTCCCAAGTGAGTTGAATACTTCTACTGTAATCTTCTACTGTAATCCCGTAAGACTATATATGCATAGCCAAGTGTAATGTCTCATTCCTGTAATCTCAGAATTTGAGAGGCAGAGGCAAGAGGTTCATAAAGTTGAAGGCCAGCCTGAGCTATCTATAGTAAGACCTTATCTCAATAAAATGTATGCTCTTAGGAGCTGGAGACATGGCTTGGTGGTTAAGAGCACTAGCTGCTCTTGTAGAGGACCCAGGTTCAAATCCCAGCACCCCCATGGCAGCTTAAAACCAATTATGACTCTAGTTCCCAGGGAACTCATTCCCTCATCTGGCTTCTGTGTTTACCAGGAACACACACAGCACAAACATACATGCAGGCACTTACACATACGTATACACAGTCAAGTAAATACATCTTTGAAAAAAGAATGTATGTTCAGGCTAGACTGAGGGTATAGTTCAGTATTTGGGTATGAGGCACTGGGTTTGATTGATCCCCAAGAGCACACACAAAAATGTATTTCATGTTTTTTTTTTAGTCCTGGTAGTGTGGTATATTAGCGTAAATACAAGGCTCTGTTTCAATTCCTAGCACAACAAATAATGACAAAACGAAAACAAAAATGGAAGTAGAGGCTGAAGAGAAGATTCATCAGTGATGCACACTTGCTCTTCCAGTAGACCTGAACTGGGTTCTGGTATCCACATTGGTGGCTCACAACTGCTGAACTCCAGCTCCAGGAGACCTAGGCCTCTGGCCTCACAGACACTGCACTCATATGGGCATATGCATACACATAAAACAAGCTTTTTATAGAGACTAGGTTGTAGAAAGATTACTAAGTAACATTTTATTTATATTTATTGATTTTAGGGGTGTTTATTATTTTGGTTTTCATTTCTCTGTGTAGCCCTGTCTATACCATTACCTGAGTCTGTAGACCAGGCTGGCCTCAAACTCAGCGATCCTGCTGCCTCAGCCTCCAGAGTGCTGGGATTAAACACCACTGCCTGGTGGCAGGTCTCGCTTTTTTTAATTACATTTATTTTGTGTTGTGGGATGCTAGCCATAGTGTACATGGATCATTTCTGGGAGTCAGTTCTTTTCCCTTACTAGGTGACTTTGGTGAACGCAAACCCCCATTGCTAGGTTTGGTTGGTGGCAGGCACTTCTAGTTATTCAGCCATTTCCCGTCCCTACATTTACTTTCTGTGCTGCCTGTGTGCAGTGGTGTGTATGTGGAGGTCAGAGGACACCTGTGGGAGTTGGTTTTCCCCCACCCATCCCCTGCCAATGTGACTTCCAAGGATTGACAGTCCATGCCCCTACCTGACCCACAAGTCTAGTAAATTTTAAATCCAGTGTTTTAAAACAGGAATGAGATTGGCTCACCGACCGTGACAAGAAGAACCTTTACCCTGTGTGTTCTTTTCTAGAACCCAGTCCAACTACAGACATGGCAGCTGAGTCCCTGCCATTCACCTTGGAGACGGTGTCCAGCTGGGAGCTGGAAGCGTGGTATGAGGATCTGCAGGAGGTGCTGTCCTCGGATGAAAATGGGGGTCCCTATAGCTCATCCCTTGGAAAGGAAGAGGTGAGTGAGAATACTAGTCTTTTTTTTGTTGTTTTTTTGTTTTTTTTTCGAGACAGGGTTTCTCTGTGGCTTTGGAGGCTGTCCTGGAACTAGCTCTTGTAGACCAGGCTGGTCTCGAACTCACAGAGATCCGCCTGCCTCTGCCTCCCGAGTGCGCCACCAACGCCCGTCGAGAATACTAGACTTAAAATGGGCAAGCAGGGGGCTGGAGAGGTGGCTCAGTGGTTAAGAGCAGTGACTGATCTTTCAGAGGACCCCGGTTCAATTCCCAGCACCCACGTGACAGCTAAAAACTGTCTATAACTCTAAGATCTGACACTCTCACACAGACATACATGTAGGCAAAACATCAATGTATATAATAAAATAAGAGTAAATAAATTTTTAAAGGGCAATGGTACACAGTGTGTACCATTCAACGTCTCCAGTCCCCTCAGGCCATAAGCTTCATACCTGTTTGGTCACCTCATCCATCAGCATTTGTATCTGCTGTGGCCCAGCTGCTGTAATCCCTGGTGCACACCTGTAATCCCAGCAGTTGCCAAATGGGGGCAAGAGGCTCAGTTCATGGCCAGCCTTAGCTTGGTGAGTTTGAGTCTAGCCTGTTTCAAAGCACAAGCAATAAACCCCACAAAACTGGAGAGTATGTTCGCCTCTCCACAACTAATACCTATCGCCCTTTCTCCACTTCCTTAAAGGGGGAGTCAAAAACCTTCACTACCCTAGACCCTGCATCCCTAGCTTGGCTGACTGAGGAGCCGGGGCCAGCAGAGGTCACAAGCAGCTCCCAGAGCCCCCACTCTCCAGATTCCAGTCAGAGCTGTATGGCTCAGGAGGAAGAGGAAGATCAAGGACGAACCAGGAAACGGAAACAGAGTGGTCAGTGCCCAGCCCGGGCTGGGAAGCAGCGCATGAAGGAGAAAGAACAGGAGAACGAGAGGAAAGTGGCTCAGCTAGCTGAGGAGAACGAGCGGCTCAAGCAGGAAATCGAGCGCCTGACCAGAGAGGTAGAGGCCACTCGTCGCGCTCTGATCGACCGCATGGTAAATCTGCAACAAGTATGAACAATTGGGACTATCATTCCCCAACTTGAGTGACATCCTGTCTCTCCTGGACCATCATGTCAATGCCAAGGATGCTGGGTAGGGAGAACAAAGGTCTCAGCTTGTGTGTATATATATTGTAGATTCTTTATTATTTTATTGTCTGTACCCGGTAAAGTGACTTTGTATAAACATGGCCTCTCACTTTTTCTTCTTGCCTTTAGGAGTTTCAATGGGTTTCCCCTCAGCCAAAGCCAACTGTTTCTTTAGATCCAAGAGTTTAGTCACCTGTGCAGCAACCTGGTTCTTGTCTGCCTTTTGTGCTTTCAGTTCTCGGACTATATTGCCCTGAGAGAGGAATAGGAGATGAGGGGACCACAGTGTACCATTCAACATCTCCAGTCCCCTCAGGCCATAAGCTTCATACCTGTTTGGTCACCTCATCCATCAGCATTTGTATCTGCTGTGGCCCAGCTGCTGTAACTTCCTCCACAACTGCTGGCTTGGGGGATCCTTTAGCCTGGAGAAGAGCAGTAGAATTACTACTTGCTGCCATAAATCCCTCTGGCATCCAGTTTTACACAACAGCTCAGAGAAAATGGTTAGGTTACCTTTAACTCCAAGGACTCTGCTAGCTAAGATGGGAAAGAAAAGCCCAAGTGAGGAAGCAGTGAGGCCATAGGTGGGAGGGATGAGTGAGGGAGACTTGGAGATTAAGGTGGACGGAGACCAAAGGTGGAAGAGATGAGTGGAGGCAACTTGGGGAGATTAGGGTGGCGCTGACATGTTTGCAGGGAAGGCACAGTCTAGCTTTCTTACCTGACCTCCTCCAAAGCGCTGCCTCAAACTTTCAATCTGGTCATTTTCCAGTTTTTGGAACAAAGGACTGACCTGGGGAAACACATGCCAGAATCAATCAATCACTGATAACTCTACCACACCAGAGACCCCACCCTTCCTGACACTGAGAGATCCCAGTTGTTTTACAAGAAATAGGAGTGGAACACTGAGCAAGTATCTGGCAGCTTTAGCAGAGTGGGAAGCAAATGGATACTGAGAACACAGAGGGTTAGGTTAGTGAATACGTTTGTCATCTAGTGTCAGAGAAAATGGCTGTGAACACCAAGACGTGGTCATCGTGGTCACCGTCAACTGTTTGTGTAAGTGCCACTCCCTGGCTTCTGGTATGAACAGCAATAAGGATACACAGGCAGTTCTGTACCTTTCCTAGGATACACGGGCAGTTCTGTACCTTTCATAGGAAGCCTGAGTGCAGAACTGGGGAAGGACTTTAGAACAGCTGGGTTAGGGTTAGGTTAGCCAGAGATGTTTAGGTCAAAGGCAGCACTGTAAAAATAAGAACTTTAATAGGCTATCTCCATCAAGATTAATAAGACCTACTGTGCCAATTTGATGACCTGCTGGTAAGGTACAAATGAAGTTTGTGGCAAGGATGCGGCAGGCTGGAGGTGGAAGCTGTAGCTGAGTCTGGATGGTGGCGCTAACTGTGGGCATGTAAGGCTGGAGCATGACAGATAGCAAGGCAGCTATGTTTACTGCCACACCTGTCACTGTGCCTGCCCGCTGCCTGAGGAAAAAGAGAGAAGTCAAAGCCACCAAGAAGACAGCATGTCATGTGATCTTTATAGCCAGTCATAGCTCCTGAACACACCTGTCCACTCCACTTCCTTTAATCCGTTTCCAGGGCTCATTCACTTGAATGTATTGGTTGCCATGTCGAGATATAGTAAGGATACTGCGCAAGGCATCTCGGATCCTGGGAAGGGAGGAGGCAAAGTACATGGACTGCCAACCGTAGCAGCACACCACTATCATAACTGTGCTGGAAGTTACTTACCGAACCTTTTCCAGCAGCTGGTGATAGTGCTGGAGTTCCCAGGAGATGTGGGCCAGCAGGCGTCTGTCATCCTGGGTAAGCACCATCTCAGGCACGCAGCCCCCCGAAAAACTTAGACACAAACATGCCAGCCCTTGGGGGGGGGGGGGGAGAAAAGACAAAGTTATTGCCCAGTTTCCTGAGAGAAATTTCATCCGACTTCCATAGCTCTTCAAGCTTGGGCCAGCCAGATGGCTCAGCAGATAAAGGGTGCCTCCAAGCCCGATGACTTGAGTTCAGTCCCTGGAATTCACATGGTGGAAGGAAGAACTGACTCAGAGGCTTACGCTGGTTTTCACTGCACAGTCGACCTCACACACAAACAGAAAATAGATGTCAAAAATAAAAACCAGACTTCATCCTTGCGGCATTCTTGTGCAAGTCCAACTATTCTTGACCCCTCAAACTAGCAGTAAAGCTTAAATTCTGCATTCTCTCTCTCCTAAAAACATGATTCTGCAAGCAAAAAAATAATTCATTTTTAGAGGTACATATTCAAGCCGCGTGTGGTGGCCCACGCCTTTAATCCCAGCACTAGCACTCAGGAGGCAGAGGCAAGAGGATCTCTTGAGTTTGAGGCCACTCTGATGTACAGGGTGAGTTCCAGGACAGCCTCCAAAGCCACAGAGAAACCCTATCTCAGAAAAACCAAACCAAACAAAGAAATACATATTGAGAGTTACCGAATTGAAGTATATTATAAGCTAACAGATACTCTAATGAAGGCTGCTAAATGTGGATAAGGGTTGGGTTAAACGCCCAGCACTCTGAAGACTCTCTGGCTAACCACCTATCTACAGCTAAGGTGCCTCAAGAATACAGTTCAGTGTGTGGCCTGGCAGCCAGTTCCAATCCACAGGAGCAACTTCCCCACTTCCCTTCCTGTCAGCCCTCCCCCACTTAGTTCTCCTCATACTGTGTGGATCTTTCCTCCAGGTCCTTCCTACCTGTTGATGAAGTTACCCAGGTTGTTAAGCAGCTCAGAATTGTTTTTAATCATCATGTCTGTCCAGGAGAAGGCACTGTCCTGGCCCTCAGGCCGAATGTACAGCAGATAAAAGCGCCAGATGTCAGCAGGGATCCCTGTATCCTGGGCCATGTCTCCAAAAACTCCTACCCCCCGGCTCTTGGAGAATTTCCCATCCTCGTAATTCAGGTACTCTGCACAGAAGAGAAGGGTCCAGAATCCATCCTTCTTCACCCACTGCAGATTTCCCCTTCGCTTACACAGGTAACGGAGCTCCATGCCCCCATTCTGGACTCTTTCTCTGCTTATAATAGTTTTTTTAAAGATATATTTATGCCGGGCTTTGATGGCGCACGCCTTTAATCCCAGCAGTCGGGAGGCAGAGGCAGGCGGATCTCTGTGAGTTCGAGGCCAGCCTGGTCTACAAAGTGACTTCCAGGACAGCCTCCAAAGCCACAGAGAAACCCTGTCTCGACAAACCAAAAAAAAAAAAAATGTTCTTGCTTTCCTCTTTTGGACAGAACTCCCATGCTTTTAATTACTTCCTGTTTCATGTCAAGTCCTAAACTAAGACCTCCCCAGGCTCTTGCCAGTGCCGCCTCAGGCCTGATCCTCCCGTGTGCACTGACAGGCTGCCCACCTGTAGCAATGAGGTTCTTCACTAAGGTGTAGTTGTCCTCAGCTCCTAGGGCTGAACAAGGAAAGACTAAGCCATGGAAGGGAACGTTGTCTTTCGCCATGAACTGATAAAGGTCCACCTAGGAGAATACATTGGAAGAGATTGTCTGAACCTTCTAACTCTACGCCTCTTACATGCCCTGTCCCCACAGACAGGCTGAGGCCTGCTTACTTGTTCTGGATTCTTCCACCATCTCTCCCACTGGTCTGTATAGTTGGCTGTGATGGACAGGTAGCCAATGGTGGCGTCAAACCAGACATAAAATACCTTGGAAGGAAACAAACAGGAATGGATCCAAAGTCTCAGGCTGAGAGGAACACCACAGACCTTATAACCAGCTAGCCCATGGCAACCCTGAAGCTGAGTAACTTTACACGTAGGGACTAAGGGATAAAGGATATTTACCTTGTCCTCAAAACCTTCCAAAGGCACAGGCGTTCCCCACTTGAGGTCTCTGGTTATGCATCGTGGCTTGAGGCCATCTCGAAGCCAAGAACGAATAATAAACCGTGCATTGGGTGTCCAGTCACTGCCAGGCAATGTCTTCCCCAGCCAGTCTTCCAGTCGCTTTTCCAACTGAGATAACAGAAACGGAGGGGAGGGAGGGGGGCAGGACTGTCTCAAACAGGGCTGGCACCAAGGTGAGTCCAAACAGTTTCTAGACAGGGTTTCATATCAACAATGTGCTTGTTTACTTTTATTTATTTTGGTTTTTCGAGACAGGGTTTCTCTGTGGCTTTGGAGGCTGTCCTGGAACTAGCTCTTGTAGACCAGGCTGGCCTCGAACTCACAGGGATCCGCCTGCCTCTGTCTCCTGAGCGCTGGGATTAAAGGCGTGCGCCACTGCCCGGCTTGTTTATTTTATCATCTTCTGAAATACAGTCTTCCTATGATGTAGCTCAGGCTGGCCCCCTGGCTCTCCAGATGGACTGCTTCAGCCTCCTCAGTGTTGAGGAGCTGGGACTAACAGCATGCAGTCACCACACCCAGCTTGTGCCGGTTCCCCCAAAACCGGCTGTTGAATATAATGACTTGAACGCACCAGGCAAGAGCTCCACCATAAGTTTTGTTCCCCAGCTGGGAATTGAACTCAAGGCCTCTGGAAGAACAGTCAGTGCTTCTAACCTCTGAGCTATTTCTCCAGTCCTGTTCCCCAGCTGTTTAAATGTTTACTAGAAATAAAAATACTCTTCAGAGGGGCTGGAGAGATGGCTCAGAGGTTAAGAGCACTGATTCTTCTTCCAGGGGTCCTGAGTTCAATACCCAGCAACCACATGGTGGCTCACAACCATCTACAATTCAATCTGTCTGGTGCCCTCTTCTGGCATGTAGGCAGAACACTGTATATGTAATAAATAAATCTTAAAAAAAACTCTTCAGAGGGTCAAGTTTAGTTCTCAGCACCCACACTACCTACAACTGCAGCTCCAGGAGATCTGATGTCCTCTTGTGTCCTCCTTGGGCACCTACACAGACACAGACACACACGAGAAACAAACAAACAAACACTAACTTACCTTAGGTAAGTCCAGAAACAGGTGCCGAGAGGACCTCACCACGGGGCGTGACCGGCAGACTTTGCACTGCGGCTTCTGTAAAGGAAAATCCCAAAGATGGTAGAGTCCTGGTGGGAGCTGCAGGACTGAGGT